CACTCACACACCCTGCAGAAGAAAAACAGCACACTCTGTTTACAACCCTGTCTCTTGGCGTAGTGTAAATCGGAAAGAAAAGCCGCCTGCGAGCATTCGTCCACAAGAACATTTTCCAGGGCCATCTAGTTTCAGCCGACATGTTCCAAAAGACACTGTGTTCCCGGTATGTCGCTTAGCAAGCTACACCAAGCCTTGTAGGGTCTGCGAGTTTAGGAATCATACTGAGCTTCACCTTCAGGATCAAAGTACGTAGGTCCTAAGATGTAGGCGTCGGCTTGAGAGCTTCAGATTTCGGGATGTGGAGACCTGATGACCTGATGTTGCAACACGTATAGCCTCACACTTCCGAAGCACAAGGCGCCAGGGGACATCAAGCGGCAAGAACAACACACCCCCTGTCCGTGGGAAAGGGGCCATTTGGCACTGGGATTGGAGTCTTTTATGGCCGTAGCCAAGGACCAGGAAAAATACCTTGTGTCGACATGAAACGCCGCAATGGTCTAATCGACACCACAAGCGTTCAATCCTGCGTGCCTCAATCTGAAGGCCCGCCTACCCGTCTCCGATTGTACTACGTCCTTTGCGCCTCAAGCCGACCTTTCTGCAAATATTGGTGGCCGGAAATCATTGTTCCAATACCCATTCTCACATGATGGAACGTCGCAAACATGAACCAAGCCCTCTGAACGAGAATGCGCAATAAAGACCCTAGTAAGATTCAGGAAGAACAACCGTCCCGTCCCAGCTCTGCCTTCTTGTGGGCGCTGCGCTCCGGCATTTCTCTTTGTAGGAGGGCTAGAACACAGGCTTCAATCTCTTTCACTGCAATCGGGAGACCTTTCCAGGACTCAAGACCACGAGGTAGCACGCGGGTCTTTACCACTGAAACCTTGAAGCCGGGCGGCGGTCCCTTAGAAGAGTGTCTCCATCACAAAGAAATGCATTCGCATCCATGACCTGGCTTTTTTTTGTCTTCACTTGACTTCGCGCACTCCACCAGACTCACAAGACCATGTCCAAGGCCTCGGTCCCAATACGCTTGCCATCCATGAACACCTTGTAAGATGACCCGCCCCAATCCACAATGATGTCCGGATGGAAGTCCTGAATCACGCACTAATGGCTCGCGCACAGTGAGACCGGAGTGGTGGAAACACTGAGGCGCAAGCAAAACTTTCTTCGGGTAAGCCGCAGCCCTGGAGTGCACAACATGTCAGAGCTGCAACAAACAACACACACGTAAGCCGCCTTGGTCAACGACAAGCTGAAATCATTGAGAAGCTGAGGAAATTTATAGCGCTTGGTCTGGGGGTCCTGTGCAAAGACGGCACGGACAGCTCCCTTCCACAACCAGGCCAGAGCATGCTTGTGTAAAAGCCTGTCCTTCGCCCGATTATACACGCGTGTCTGCGCCAACGGGAAGGCCTCCACACCGACGTCTCTGCAGACTGGCAGGTGCAAGCTGTCCTCTCTGGGAATCGGTGCCCGGCCTCCTTCAAAGCAACGTGAAAGCGTTGAGCAGCGCTCTGAGCTGGACTTCTGGTGGCAAGCTCTTTGAGGTCCACGAGGACGGGGTCGTTTGGCTTCAGCGCTGACCAGGGCAGAGGGTAAAAAAGACAAGAGATGGCATGGGAGAACGCCGGGCACGGTGTCATGTAAAAGCTCGACACCCTCAGCATCCCTCAGCCCTCAGCATAGCATAACATAACACTTGCCAGCACTAAAGAATGCAAGCAGGGATCAATACCCAATCGAGTTGATCAGGACGATCTCCCTGACATGGCATCCAAGCACATGGTCTAGCAGTGGCACCCACAATTCGGGTCGGTCGAACGTAGGCAAGCGGCTGGTAAGCCAGCGCTGGCTGCTTAATACCAGAGATCAGATCTTGCAAGGCTTGGCCATTCACGACCTGCACGCCGACACGGCTTGCGCGATTTGCCAGGACCCTTCGCTCCAATAAAGCATCCGCTGAAGTACCTAAAGTATCTCCCGTCGAGAGCAGCTGAGTCAAGCAATTGGAAAGAGATGCCTTGGTCCCTGTCGGCACAGACACCGACAGGCCAGCAGCATCGTATGCCTTCATGGCGAATGCACTTGCATGCCACAAGGGGGAAGCTAAAGCTGGTGGCTCCAACCTGTGTGGAGGAAGAGCCCACGGAGAGCAGGAGAAGCTTCGGATCCGTGAGCTCGCCTTGGGAATGGAAGCTAAGCTGCAACTCCCGCCGCCCCTACGCACAAAATGGTGGATCATAATCCGGTCTGCATGCTTCCAGAACGAAACTCAAGCCAGAGATGGCTGTTCTGCAAAGTTACAGAGGCCAGCTTGAGCAAGGATGCCGTTGTTTTCCTGTGCAGGCACCCTCTAAACTAGCACCTGGACTGTGGACGCAAAGATGCAAGACGGAAGCAGGCAACGTACGAGCAAAATGACCAAACCGCCATGCCACACCGATGCCGCATCCGAAAACTACTGCCTGCCGACCGACTCTTGTATCATCTACACTTTTCAAGAACCAAAAGTTCAGCAATGCCCAGCATGCTATTTGTAGCCTCAAAATTCGCGCATTAGGTTCGGAGGTTCGGAGGGACTTTTCACGGCGCTCAACCATGCCATCCGCAGTGCTAGACTATTGCAGACTCTGGTCTCTATGCAGGCGGCGAGCAAACAGAGCTAAGACAAGCCAACAAAACAATTGACAGCGCCTGCCTGGCATTCCAAGTCAAACAAGGCAATCCGTTCCTGGGCTGCTGTGTCCAACTCGGACATAAGGCTGATAAGATAAGCAGCATGCGATGTATGCTTTTGCGGAGAAGCTGCCATCCGCGCCTCGTCCTGAGCCGGGTGCCAGTGCACGATATGGCTTTGACATTGGCTTAGATTAGTCGCGCTGTCACTGACGGCAGGCTGCCAAAACTAGGTCTGCCTGCCGGCGAAATCACGATTCCTGTCAAGATTAGTGACCTGTAGTGACGAATATAGCTAATGCATGCTAATGCATACTCGGCTCCTCTGCTGAAAGGAAAATGTGCCGTGTCTGCAGGGTATGAAGAGATGATACTTCAGTCTTGTCCAGCAGCACCTTGGAGGCCAGCAATGCGCCCGGAAGCGCAGTGAAGCTCACAAGCGCACAGCACGATTTCGGATGAGGCGGACACCCAGTCAAGGAACTCGTCTACATCCTGAGGGCATGCGCAACGAAGCATTGAGGTGCTCGCACCGAGCCGAATCTCAACAAATCTGCACTTAATAAGCCAGGAACCTTCAGTCTTGTTTTGTTTACCCTACACCCCACTCCGTCCGAAACAGCTGACAAGCCTCGAGGATTCTGCTTGAGCTCTTGCCCTGCTGACAGAGCCGAGTTCTTGTTCTCGCACCGGCACGAGGAAAAAGCACAAGCAGTGGAAAGATGTAGCAAGGACTACCAACCATCACACTTCTTCTTCAGTGAACTAAAGCAAACAGCTTTTCCGGCTCAACTGGAAAACTGGCAGCAGAACTGGCCATTGCAGCACCATAACAGTCCCAGCACAGTTCGAACCACAATGCCGCGCGTGCTGTCGAGGGAATAGCGGTCGTGGAGCTTTGATGACTTTGAATGTGTGCAGGTCTGCACTTCAACTCGCGATCATAAGCTGTTGAGGTTCTTCCATGCGACCATGTTGTTTGTTGGAAAGCAAATTCTGCAGTGGCATATGCCTTCCCGGCACTACAGTACCTGTATCTTTTTATTTGGCAGCTCCACAACCTAACGCCGCCAAGATGCCACAAAGCCATCTCCGTTAGTATCCAAACCTGTTGGGTCGCTGCAGGGAACTGGCGACTCTAGATCTCCATCTCATGTGACAGTACAACGGTGCTAGAGCTTGGCCGCGAAAAACTGCTGGCAACCCTCCTGCAACAAGTTCTGTGGAACCTCCCCATTGCTCAATGAACTGGCCTGCAAGCAGCCTGTCTAACGTCTCGTGCAAGTTGGACCTCAGGCAGCACACTGACAACTCCCTCTGTCTCTGTGCTTGGGCAAGTCCTTCCGAAGCGAGCATCTTCTTGCTACATCGTCTGTGCGACCTCGTCCTGCAATCCGCCTAGTACTTCCTGCTGGGATGGCGGCCATTTAGCCTTCTTGAATGTGCCAACCCGGTCCAGAACATAGTACAGCTCGTCTTTGTCTATGTAGCCATCCTTAGCCGAAGCCACGGCCGGAACGGCGCCCCTCTGAAAGGAGGCCTCAAACCAAAACGAACTTTCACCAACACTTGAACCTCAACAAAACTGCTTTGACAGTTCTGTCGCTCAGGTCGAACAGCAACCAGGCTGCGCCATTTGAATCCACACGCCGCAACACTTGATGAAGGGTATGCTTCACCTCCGAGCAGCAAAGGCTCAGTCTCCCTGATAGAACCTTTCTGACTCGAATTCTCAAACCATCGAAAGACATCAATAGCATACACAACAGGGAGTGAGAGGCAACACCTCACTCGCCAGGATGCATTGCGATAACTCACGTCTAAGCCCGTGCTGATTCTTGCGGTCGAGGCAGGGATCACACGGTGGCTCTCTTTCGCCATCTCCGGAAAAACACACACAAAAGCTCCGTATCGATGCCAAAGCTCATCGAGGGACGATCGACTCTCGTCTCGCGACCAAACCCCCTTTGCGGAGACTCTCCAGAGGCTCGCCGGCCACAACGGTTCGTCTTAACATGGAAAAACAAGGCCCTAATTTTGACTGGACTCTGTAACCCACCCAAGAGACCTCCAGCAGCTTTTCGGCCGGAGGCGCGCTCATGAAATACAAGGCGCCATTGAAACTGCTTTCAGTTCAGCACAAGCACCGGAGCTTGAGAAAAGTGGCAGTCACGATCATGCACAGCTTGGGGGTAGCACGTTACCCGACTCAACAATCCTGAACAACAGTCTGACTACACGCCGGCATTGAGAGATCAAGGTGCGGTCTTTGGCGCAGCAAAGCCGACAAGTCTGAGAATGACTCACAGTCACGACTCATCAGCAGGAGCGCTTGCAGCGGCATCAGCAGGGGGGCTTGCGGCTGCCTAGGTGGTTTCTGCAGCAGCGGGCTGAAGCCGATGCACACACTGCGGTCTTGGTAAGCAAGGTTGCCGATTCTGCGCTGGATTTTGCTTTGGCTTTTGCCTCAGCATCCGAGAAGAGTCCACAAGAATTTACAGCTCACACGGTCGGGAGACTCAGTCCCTTTCCCTTAACTTCTTCTTCTTGTTCCATGCTCGTGCAGAGAGGTCACCTGGCCAAGGAAGAGTTGCTGCCAACTCGCAGGAAGGATTCCCGATGATTCCGACATCAAGACCGCTCGGGGTCCTGTCACGATGATGGCATCTATGGACCTGTAGAGAATCAGCAGGACCGCGACCGATGCCTTGGCTCTGGAGGCCTCTGGACTCCAATGTGCGAAGAGGCTCGTGCTGCTACTGGCCGAGGTGCGCCAAAGGCTGCAAAGTACATGGGGAGGCTGGCGGCTTTCTTCAGCGGAGCTTCGACATCATCAGTGTCACTTGCCTTGCTCTGAGATGTTGTGTTGGACCTCGGGATCCACTTGGGATGCTTCTTTGGCTGTCTATAAGACACGGCCAAGGTCGAAACGAGTTCGAAGTTGCGGTGGAATTAGAGGCGTTTCTGGGCGGTGAAGGCGGCGGTTCTCGAAGCGGAACGCCAGGAGGACCGGGTTTGCCCTTTGCGCCGGCCTTGGCGGTCCCAGCAAGCACTGTGTGAGCAGGCCAACCGAAGGTTACAAATGCATGCAGACCGACGGACAGTCAGACCGACAGACGGACGGGACGGACGGACGGACAGACCTACGCATCCACATCATTGTTCATACATAACAAACATAGGCAAAAAGCTGTACATTCACATGCACATGTAGCCACACATACAGATGCACATGCGGATGCACGTATGCAAATACACGGGATCATCCACGTTCACCTTCAATTTTTTACATACACATACCACTGTACACATGTGCACAGAAAAACGCATACGCACATACAAACACCAACACACACTCACACACATGCATGCATGCACACGTGCAGACATGCATACACTCATGCATACATACATGCAGCACATGCATATACAATCATATATACATGTCTACCCACCCACCTAGCTGTCCAGCTACCCAGTAAACAACATGCCTATCTACCTACCCACCCACCTACCTGCATACATGTGTATATACATATATATATATATATATATATATATACACACATACGTACATACATACATACATAAATACATACATACATGCACACATACACACATACATACATGCATGCGTATACGTACATTCGCATGAAAATACATATACATGCATACAAAAACATGCACGATCATGCAGTGACATACATACGTACATGGCATACGTACATACATGCATGAGTTTTCATACGCATGCAAGCATACATCCATACATGCACACTTCCTGCCTGCTTACCTACCTGCGTGCCTATACCTAGCCACCCTACCGAGGCACACACATACATTTATAGACCATACATACATACAACCTACATACAAGCTACATACATACATACATAATCATACATACATACATACATACATACATACATACATACATACATATATACATACATACATACATATGTACGTACACACACACGCGTACGTACATGCATGCACGCATGCATGCATGTGTACATACACGCATACATACATACATACATACATACATACATACATACATACATACATACATACACACACATACAGATACATACATGCACGGATGCATTCACTTATGCCTGTGAGTGACGACCCTGTCGGGCCAGGCCGTGCGTCTTGCTCTTCGAAATAGTCTACAATAGGTAACTTTGCCGCATCGAGTATGCACCATCAGCATGTTAGAGGTGCATCCATCGTCGCTCTCCGAAACGCTGTAAACAGACACACGAGACTGACAATCTTGAGAGGAAGGACTGCAAATTGTATTTGTCTGTGTGTTCTCTGTGTGTGTTGAGCAGGGCATGACACTGCCAGTGTGCTGAAACCTCCCAGTCCCAGTGACGGTGACAAAGACCACACTGACAGGAACTTTGCGAGCAGAAAACGCTGCAGACTCGCAGAGCCGCAGCCGGGTTGGGATCGTAGGTTGGAGCTACTGTGCAAGCACTCAGCTAGCAGAAGCTGTGGACAGGACTGCTCCTGCTTCTCCAGGCGCGCCTGGAAGTCGAGGACAATGGAAAGTTCCATGCGCCAAAGGCAACTGTGACATCTCAGCTGTGCCTTGCGGACCTGGGGGACCTTTCATTATCTGAATCAAATCGCCAGTCATGGAGGCCACCTGCAGGAGGATTTGGACAAAAGCTAGGCAGTCGGGAGATGGTGTTTCACTACCAAGGACTACATTTATATGCTTCGCAAGACATGGGCAAGGCCTCGTAGATTGGTCGCGTCTTGGAGTTTTGGGCCTGTATTTGTTTGACCTCTGAAAATTTCTGCGCTGACCGGCTTGACAAAAAGGCACACTGGTGAACAGCACTCCCATTCTTCCATACCAAGGGCGCTGCAGCTTCCCAGGCAGCTTTTGCATGTTGCTTGGCAGCTACAGCTGCTGTTGTTGGATCGAAGACCTAGGCTTGTCAAGGTAGTGTTGCCTCTCTCATACCGGGAAACTGAGACTCAAGGGAGGACGCAAGACAACTGCAGACTAACTGCAGTCAGGTTGCGCTTGAAACAACCGTTCGGACAGGCTGAGCCTCCTCGCTTTGTCCACTTTGGCTTTGCTTGTTTCGTGGTCCAGGCGCGCTGCGCGACGACTGTGCAGCCTTAGGAAGCGGAAGGTGCAAGGAAAGCCGAAAATCGACGCCCCGCATGCAAGATCTTGCAACCCTCTCAGGTTGTAGCTTTTTTGGACCGCACATCAGGTCCAGGTGGGCCTGGGGGACCAGGCGGGCCACGGGGGCCTTCTTCACCCGCGACGGAGGAGGCACGGCTGTAGCCTCCGCACAATTCAGAGGCGAAGAAGAAAAGTCGACACAGCATATTGGCTGTGCAAGATGTGCGGCATCATACTTTCCATATGCCTCCACCAAATCCTGGGACTGGCTGGCCAACAGACTCAACGTCATCCAAAGCATCGTCTGCTTCCTCTTTGGCCATCTTCGCAAGCTTGTCCGACTCCCCCGCCTGTCTCACCTTATGAAGTTTCTCACAAGCCTCTGCCAGCCTCTGCCTGAGTCGTATTTCGTGGAGGTTTGGGGAAGATGCAGTTGAGCCGCTGCTTTGCTGAGACTCCCATCAAATTGTCTCAAGTGTTTGCTGATCTTCAACATCGTCTTGCCCAGATTTTGTGTACGATTGAGCAACTTCTGCACTGCGCCCTTGGATGAGTTCTGGTCCTTCAGAACCTCCTCCAACCTCAACACATGGTTGACTGGCCGTCATGGAGAGCTACCGACTGGCTACACATGCCTGCTGCCAGGAAGCGTCGTTCCAAGGTCATCAACTTCGTACTTAAGATTGGCTTCTCTCGCCTTTAGAAGATCTGATGCATTCTTGGCTTTCCCGGCATCCTTCTGAGCATGCCCAGCTGCAGTTTCCTGGGCCAGTCTGCCAGCTGAACTGGGCTGAGCAGGTGTTTCAGGCCATGTGATACCCTACTCTCGGTGGCAAGAATGAGCTGCCAAGCCCTCGACCGCATGCATCGCTTCTGTCCCAAATTCGATAACTTTGCTTTCCACATCCTTGACAACCTGAGTCCAGCTTCGTCGTTCATGTTGCAGTGTATCTCATCTCCCCCAGCAGTCTCTGAACAGGCCCTAGCTCGCTCCAGGATATCATCCTTGGCCTTCAGCTGGCCGTCTTCTCGCTGTATGCCTGCAACGGGCGACAAGGTGACTTGGCGCCACCAAAAGGCTGCAACCGCAGCAGCAAAGCTCAGCAAAGCGCATGGCACATGCTGCCTTCCAGTTCGGCCTGGAGCCTGAGAGCGGTGCTGTTTGTCTGGTTCAACGCCTCAGCTCGGCAGAGACCCGACTGACCAGAGGCACAGCAGCACACTGCTTAAGAATGCATGCGCAACTGCCTCAGGCACTCTGATCCCCGGATTGAGTGCAGCGAAGGATTTCCGAATGCAAACATAATTTGTGACATCCCCGAAGACGACTAGGCGACTGGCGTCGCTGACATCTGCATCCACTTTCGCGAAGTCTCCTTTATGCTGGTGCCCGCACCGAATCGACGAAGATTGCAACAGTCTGAAGCTTACATCCTGCGGTCCTCGGACGACCTCAAGCTCCTGCAGTCACAGCTGTAATGCAACTGATGCAAGAGTTCATTCTGTGTGTGGACATGCGCAAATAATCATTCATGTACATATACACAGTCGTACAAATACACAGATACACACATATGCAGATATATCCGCTTTGCTGGTGCCCACACGTATGCCGTGGCACTCCCCGATATCAAGCGCTACAATGCCGCACAATAAGACAGTAAGACACAAAAAGCTGAAACCGGCAAGACCGGATATTTAACCGCAAGTGGTACATAGTATAAAGTATTGGGCCGAGAAAAGTTCCGGACAATTTGGTGTTTTGAGTTTGAAAAGTGCATGTTGGCTGGACTTCTTCCTTCGCGGAAAAGGCCGCTTGGTCCGTCTGCATTACACCAAGAACTACACCACCGACAATAACGGGCATTGGCAAGACGACGGTGAATAGTGAAATTCATGTCATCAGCAGATCAGGCAATAAGACCTTGACCACAAAAGTTCGTCTCTGCCAGATTGACTACTGGCATCGGCGACGGAACCTGCGGACAGTGAAGGGCTACAGGCTGAGTGGTTTCTAAAAAACCGGCGAGTGCGTCCTGGAACACGGAGTGCCGGGTTTAGGATAGCGACGGCTGTCATCGGACCGCAAACTTGCTACACGGAGAAACAAACGTCATCCGTTTAGGGGTTCCAAGCATCTCGAAAGTTCAAAATGGCAACAGCAGTAGCCTACGTGAAGCTGAATTGACGGAAACGGTGCACATGCCAATTTTTGCTATATCAAAACTTGTAGAAAGACAGAAGTCTGCACAGGAACAGTGGGCAAGAAGGGTCGAATGGATCAGTGGATCACCATGCATCTCCGTGTCTATCTATCTATCTATCTATCTATCTATCTATCCTATATATATATATATATAAGCAAACATATATAGGTATCTTCGCGCGCGCGTTTGTTGGCATGTTTAACTTCGTTTTTTGTATCTCAATTTGTTTTTGCAATGATGGAGCTACCCTTTGTCTATGTGACACGACATGCTGCCGCTGTCACTTGTTCGCCCGGCCCTAAATAATCTATCAATCGATGCTGCAATCTGCCTTCTTCTGTTCCGCATTCTCTTGCTCGAGCTCGATGATCTTTTCGTCTGCGGCATTCAGCCTTTGATCCTCACCGGGCACTCGCATAACCACTCTGCAGCATGTTGAAAAAGTTGAAGCACACCAACCCAATCAAGTCGCCTGCGCAGCAACCATGACAGCGGCCCGGGCAGCCTGAGCATCGTGGCATGGGGCTCTCACGTTCACGTGAGGTTTTGCAATCGGATTCGAAGAAGACGCGCTGAGAACCACCACTGATTGCTTAGATCTACAGCCCAGCGACCGCAGCTTCGGCAACCTTGGCAACCTCCATAGCATTCGCCAACCGCTCCTCAAAGTCCGACTCGGGAGTCTTGGCCTTGGATGCTCCAAAGTTTTCTGGAAGCATTCATGGCTCAGCCCTTCCCATTCCTCTGACATCCTCCGATTTGATTTCGACGTAGGGCCTCTCTTCTCACCAGCGGCGGGTTGGCTGAGGCGAAGTCCACCTCATTACGAACTGGCTGGCATGCGGGACGGCCGTCTTGGATGCATGCAGCATGATGGGCTTCCCGTTTTGACACCTGTCATGCGGACAGACATCTGGGAAGCAGGCCGGATCATCTGCAAAGCAGTTCCGAAGTGCCAGCAGCAGAACCTTGTGTAGTGCACAGGCTGCTACGGTGTTTTGAACTTTGGACTGTCTATGGCATTTTTGCAAAATGAAGTGTATCGAGGGCAACACCACTCCTCTGCGGAGATGCATCCTTAGCCGCACGTGAACAGCTGTCTTGAGAGCCAGGGTGATGCTTCTGCAGTTGCATAATGACTGCAAAGCTTCGAAGATGAGGGATGTCATGGATGTGTTGTCTAACCACGAAGTCTGGACTTGATCCGAGCGAGGCCCACAGTGCGAGAGCACGCATGAAGGAAGCACAGTCTCGCATGAGAACTCAGTACCCTCAGGCCACACGGCCAGCGCCCCTGGATCATCCACAGCTATCACGTCAAACTCAATCAAGGACATCACGCTGGGAGGCAGATCGAAAATGAAGGGCCTGAAAAATCTTTACACCCTGAGCATCGCGAAGAAGCAAAACCAATCGAAGCCTGGACCCTCGAGCCAAGATGTGGGAAGGTCACGGAGCTTCCTGCACCTGCCGCCCTGAGGTATGCCCTCCCCATTTCAGCCCAGAGCGCCTTTGGTGGACTAGGGGTGAAACCGTGAGAGCCTTTTAGCATTGTCTAGATGTCCTAACTTAAACTTGCAAAAACCATCTTAACATCCGGGAAAGTTGGCCTGGGCTCTCGTCTGAAGTGAAACGTGCACCAGGCCTGAAAGCATGTGGAGCTTTCCAGATGCAAATTGAAACTGCTTTCAACCCGATGCAGCCTGCATTCAAGCTTGCAAGCCTGCGTCGTCTTTGTGATGAGAGCCTGCGCATCTCAGCGTCGCGGCCAATCGAAACACCACGGGGGCATTGCGAGCTGCACAGATCTGCACACTCTACGTGGTGACCTCTTCAGAAGCAGTCCAGCTCACACCGTGTGCCAAAGCCGCCTCATGTCGACTGCAACTGAGAGTCACGAGGAGTGACTTCTCCAAGAAAGAAAACGCGTCAGCTCCACTCCCAGGCACCCCCCACCACTTCTCCTGCCTTGCGCCTCGGAGTCATGTTCGAGAAATATTCCGCCCGGCATGCAGAGTCCAGAGTCCGAGGAATCGACCCCAGAGACGGGTTGCTCTCGCAGGCCTCACAGGCACACAGTGAGTAAAATCGTCGGGGACTGTTGTCTTCACTCGGACTAGCATGCTGAGGCCAGGGCTTTCACAATGTCAAAGCCCCGCACCGCCAATTGGAAGTCCTCCGGAAAGTTGACTCCGATTCACACGACACTGCGAGATCCGAACACTTCGTGCAATGAAGGTTGACTGTAGCCAGACGCCTTGACTATTCGCATAGAGAAGGCGACACCTCAATGAGCCGCAACAAAAGAGCCAAGGTGTTCTCGGGCCCCAAGTTAAAGATCCTATCAATCAAAAGAAAGAATGAAGAAAGATCTGGCAACTCTGCAATCCGCCGCTAAGTGGCAGTTGGTGAACTCTTTCTGCTTGTCCGCTGTGCTGTACACCTTCACAAAATTGGTGTCTTCCAGGTGCGTCATATGGACATATACGGACAAGGGCGGCCTGGAAGTCGCGCTTCAGGTCATTCTTCAGCACCGCAGCGATGATGCGTCCAGCCACCGGTGGTGCACCCCCAGCTGCATGCCGGACCGTGTGGACCTGCACTCAAGTCTGTATCTTTCTGCGCGCAGTATGTATCCATGCATCTGCAGAATGCCCGCGTATTGCGGCCAGCCTGCGGATGCGGAACGCTGGCCGCTGATCCCTGCAGGAGATAAGGCCATGTTCTAGATGAAGAGCTATTCAGACAGGGAGTGGGCGGAGACTGCAACAATTTGTGTGCGCCCTGTGACCCAAAAGTTGAAGAAAAGTTGGCTTATTTGGCAAGTCTCCATGTGAGACAGCTTCGGAGCAGCATGCTCTCAAGGGCTCGATTGTGCAAGTGTCTCGATTTTGCGTTCACAACATGATGAGCGAAAAGAGCCTATTGCAGGATTGCTCCTACCCTGCACGTCCGTGCACGAGGAAGCATCACAGGCCCGGAAGTCAAAGCGAGGCTGGTGCTGACCGGGGGAGCGACAGAAGGAGAACACCAGGCAAGCTGCACGAGAGCATGTACCGATGCAAGAACTGAAATCTACTCGTGCTGCGCATAGCTCTACTCCCAGTCCTGGACATCCCGGTATCGCGCTTGAACAGAGCGAATCACCTTTTCAGGTTGCAACGGCTCATGAAGAAAAGCTCTAGTCAATATTCAAGCCAATCCTCGGTACTGAGGCTAGGATGGAGCTGGATGATAGACAGCTTTTCAGAGCTGGCTTATATGACAGGTCACGGCCAGCAGCACTTACTTGCTGCGGCCACCCAAACTATCAAGCCTCCTCACAAGATTGTATGTCATCCGCAAAATGCACGAGGATGCCCTCCTGGCACATGAGGACCACTCGAACCCGTTACCACTGAGAAAGCTTGGCGGGTCTCGGACAATTTGAATCTCACAGCGTCACTACGTAGCCGAACCCTGTGTCCTTGACGGCATAGAAAAGGCAACAAGACCAGAGCCGTTCTCGTGTCGGCGGAGGCTGACAATGGTAAAGCAAAATGTCGGGTCAGCCGGGCCACAAGCGCAGCGCAAGAGGCCTCTTCAAGCTCACCAAACTTCTCAAGCGAGAGACCGCTGCTCCGCGAGGCACTCTTGAACCTGAAACGGCATTTTTTGGCCGACGTTTGGAGAAAGCGAAAGCCCACAAAGCGCCAAGTTGCATCGTGCTTGTAGGGCTGAGCCGAGCTCCGGAAGCGCTCCGAGACCTGACAAAGCCGAGGAGCCGAGAGGCCCTGTGCCAGCCTACGCACTGCTACGCACTGCTTGCGCTTAGCCGCGCACATCCAGCTGCATTCTCTGCGCAACTTCTCCACTGAAGGACACCGAGTGGCCCTTGGCAGAGCTGTCTCTCCACGTGGCTTCTGGTTTTTGACGTGGCCAATGCTTGCCGAAAGGGTATTGTCAGTTGACTGAGAGTCCTTGCTTGAGGAGAGTTTGCAGAACGGGTCATCTCACTTCTAATTTGGTCCCAGTTATGCTGAAGAATCCTGTCGACTGGCTGACTGGCTGACACACAACAGCATCCCAAGCTGCCAACGTCGACTCCATATCCTCTGAGGGCGAGGGTGGCGAGGGCGATGCGTCCTGGTGGGAATGCGGCATGAAGCTGGAGCAGTATTGCTGATTCTCGGGAAGTCTGAAACTCACTGCAGGGGTGCGACACATGAGTCCAGGCTAGAAGTATAAGTGGCTTTGCGTCTGCAGTCAGCACTTCTGCTCGGGGACCTTCTTCTCTGCAGCGGTCACCTGGACTGCGCCAAAACTCGGGTAAGCCGAATGCCCTGAATTTGAGCACCGGCAGTGGCTGCACTGCTCCGGAAGCCTCTTCCACTGTCCGTGAGAACTTATGGGGGAAGTTGTCGTGTGCTTGGAGAACGATGCCCTGTCACAGATGAACGACCATAGCGCCCGCTTTCTAGTGCCCTCATCAGCCCATGCGTTGTCGCCAAATTCGGCTAACTCGGTTCTGGGCTGAATAGCATCGACCACTCTCCGCATCAAAGCCAGCGATGAGCACAACTTCGGCAGCTTCACTGACCTGCTGAGCGACATGAGGCCAACACCAAAGCGGCTATGACCTTCTTCCGGCCTGCACGTAGTCTCCTCCCTGCCTGAATGTTCCTGGGAAGACGTATTCCACCTGCCCCAGATTCAAGCGCCTCTAGAGTTCGGGAAAGCATGGATTGCCCGGGCAGCTGACGTTTCCCGGTCGCGTTAGAAGGATCTGCCGCGACTTGGCGAGGGGGGTGTAGGTGGCTGTCGACCAGATCGATGGCAACGCCGTCTGTCACACAGCGGTTGCCAAGCAGATCTGTTGACGAAACTACAGAATCCATCAGCCGCCTTGTCCAGGGTGTCTGCCTTCCGCGAACTGAATGTGCTGATCGTGATACAGGGGGGATCAGTTCCTCTTGAAAGAATCGAGCCGTCTGGAAGGTGGCCTCTACTCTTAGCACTTCTCTTTGCTTCGCTTCCCGTAGAGTCCCGGTCAACCAAAATCCTGCTACACAACAGTCCGAACAAGAAGCAAGGATCATCGCAAAGGGGCTGTGCTCATAACGTGGGCAACGTGGGCGTCTTGATGATTTCCTTAATCACTTAGTTCCTCGAAATTCAAGGCAGCTTCAACACTTTGGGCTGATGCCTTGTATTCGCCTGTGGATGCCAAACTTCGATCGCAAAACCAACGCAAGCCCGCCGGCCAAGCAGTCGCGACGTCACCACAAGCCCTCACTGCGGCGAAAACAAGCCATCGGTAAAGAACCCCAAAAGCCCAGAATTACTCAAAAGCAGCCAAGAAGTCGCAAAGCCAACCCAAAAACCCACGAAGTTGATCTAAGAACGTCTTCTAGGGTGTGTTGTTCTCGTCCAAAAATGAGCCCCAAATTGACAAAGATCACGTCAGCAATTACAAAAGCCATGATCCTTCCCCCAGGATATCACAAGAGATCCGAGACGCCGACCCATTCTTCAGCTCCACGCAAGGAGAAGTATTGACCCATGACACCCAAATCAGTCTAAGTTCGCCCGTTCAATGTTTTACAATGCTAAATTTGACATACCTACTACGAACAGTGGCCTACAGCCCATGTCGACCTGTTGGCTGCTTGACAATTTCTCATCCGAGTAACTTACTAGATGATGAAACCAGTCACCGTCAGACTTGACGAAGGGATCAGGGCGATAGCACGGAAGCTGCCCAGTGCGTCACGGAAGCTGTCGTCAAGCCCGGAGCATCACGATCAATCCCAGCAGCCATGAAACTAGACATAGAAGGGCAACAAAGAAACTCAATTTTTCTGCGAAGCACACTCTCCTTCTCAGTTTGAGAGGCTGCGCTCCTACCATGCCACGACATGCTGTCTCACTCGAATCTGTACTTTGTGAAACATGCAACTGATATCAAGACCAGAAAGGCTTGGAAAACGAAGTGCGCAATGATGCTCATGAGAAACATCTGGTATCCAGCCTTGCACGGTCCCATCTGATCAAGGCACGATCCTTCCAATGCCACAGTGTGCCAAGGTGCACGTTCATCGTCCAAGACCTGTTTGGAGGAGTCCGCTGTCCATTCGAAGAAGAGCGGATGGATGGCCTCTGAAATACGAAGCTGAACATCCTCAAGAATCGAAGGGAAGCACAAGTTGCACGATCTTGGTTTGGCAGCGACGTGCTGTCCAGGCTGCCTTGATTGCATAAGCAGATTCGGCCTGCTGCACTGCAAGCCTGACAGCAGACAAACAAAATAAAAACATGCCTCTCCACTAGCTTCGGCTTGGCGAGCCTGTAGAAGTCTCGATCCTCGTCGCTGGTTATCCTCAAGCCTCCCTTGGGACCATCACTGTTGTACCTCTCGTGCAGGTACTGAGCATTTTGACGGACTGCCATGATCTGACAGTTACTTCACGTGGCTCTCGGGCCACATGCTGAAGCAATGCATGCCAGCAAGACGCTCCGCACTTGAAGTCTGCTTGCTGATCGGAACAACAATTCTTGCCCACCGCCCAGAAGTCATAGGAACTGCCAGCCAGCACTCTTGATGAATGCCGAGACATGCAAGACTGCAAGACATGATTCATAAGATGAACGCCGTGCTGGGACAATGATTGCTCCAGGCGCAATGGAAATTGAGGTCCGAGCGCCAGCACCATGTTGTTCACGGTTATGGGTGCGACCTGTCATGTTTACTCCATTACCATTGACTGCGAGGCTCCCATATGTTTGATTGTATGGCTTGCATGCCAGTACGACAGCTGTCAAAGCCGCTCGCGCTTCGACAACGGACAACATTTGCGTGCGTGGCACAGATCTCAAACCCTATGAGGGTATGGCTTCGCTGCTTCGCCTCCTTCAACTCATGCCGGGACCACACAAAAAATGTCAGTGTTCTTGAACCCGTTGGCCAGGTGGAAGTCCAGACCAGCTCCTGCTACGAACTGGACCTTGCCTGCGTCCATCAGCTCCTGTGACACAAACCCAGCATCACGATGACAGGCTTGGCTACTAAGTGCCACAAACTGGGCTGTGTTTAATCGCCTGGCCCCTCATCGTTGCAGGATTGACCTCAACGTATGAGTTCAGCGACACCACATCGAAGATCGAGCGCATGTTCGTCTGGTAATTGTAGCCTTGCTTTGGGGCTGGCTGTGAGTTGAAACAGATGAGAACAAGAGAACAGTCTGAAACTAATCTCCAACGCATGTCTCAGCACTCGTCAGTTGTCGAAAACAGGGTTGATGCTGTGGTGTTGTTTGTAGAATATCTCGACATGACCAGAGCAAGATGAGTAAGATCCTACAATCGCTTGAAGTTAAAGGGGAAAAGGAACTGAGACAGCGCACTCAAGCGACGCAGGCATGTGCAGGCATTGACTTGAACAACGCGTGCTTTCAACAACTGAGACCACGTCTGCCAATGAGCATGCCCAGCACGAAGGCAATGGAAGCAGTGACCGCAATGAAAAGTAGCCACACTGCAAATCTTCCTGCAAGTAGCAAGGACGATGGTAAGGTGGACACGGCGACGAATGGGCAGCCTGCACTTCTTCTGAGTGCGCCGTGTCCTGTTTCAACCAAGTGGTACTGGCCAAACATGATGGCCCGGCACGACAGCAGAACCTGGCCAAAAACAATCGTGTTAAACCTTGCCCCAAAACCCACATGCTTCCGGCACTTGTTCCCCGCGCAGGCGTCTTCCGAGTAGGCACCGGGCCCTATGGAGGGTGTAGAGCCCAAGAAGAATTCCCAGCGCGAGCGTGATGACCATCACCCTGATGCACAGGCACTTCTTTGCTGTAGAAGGACCTAGACAATCCTCGGCCGTGTGGCTTTTGCATGCCACTGTCTGATGAAGCGACCAAGCTGCACTCCAGGCGATGTGTACCGCAACTTGAAGCACCACAGTCCGCACATGCCGATGAACCTGAAAGCATGAATAGGAAGTCGCTCATCTCGCATGTGTGGCCTGAGGCCAGCGCACGAACCACGGCACAAACAGCGCCATGATGATGCCAATCAAGTTGACGCGCTGCCGTGTCATCGTCTGCCAGGCTGTAAAAGTTTTTGCCGTACTTCCCTCTTCTCAGACTTGATTCAGGAGTTGGGAATTTGTGCACTGTCTTGAGAAGTGTGCTTCATCATTCAACCTGCCCAGGGCTCAGGTGGCTCCACTGTCGGTTTTGGGATAGCTTTCTTGGGATCATCACTGGTGGACAGAGCCTGCGGTGGTCCCATGAGCGGCTTCGACGGCCCCAGCTCATAAGCACCATATGGATATCCTTGCAGCCAACTTGCGGAGGGGATTTGGGACATTCTTCTGCATCTACCTCGCAAGATCCTGGCCTTGCTGCATCGCATAGTTGTCCTGCACATGGCATTGCCCAGCTGGCGGTTGCAATTCACTGCTGCGCTCCTACAGAATCTCGTCCTAGATGCAGCACGCAGGCCATCAATCATGAAACCTCAACTGAGCCGAAGTTCCCGTGTCCTTGCCGTACATGATGCTTGCTTCTTCCCACTTCCAGCCTCAGGCTGTCAGGTTCACACGACTTTTTTCTATATGCTGCGAGAGCTAATTTTACGTCTGCAGAAGAAGTCTGTTCAAAGCATGGCTTTAGCTGATCTAGGAATTCTGAACCAGAGATGCCCCGATGCTGTCCCAGTCGAGAAGCCTCCGAAGCGGACAGAATTCCCAAGTTCAATACCGGGACATGGAGATCTAGACTCTGGAGATTTGAGCCTAAGTGCGGACCGATTGTGACAAGGAGGCAACTTCGGCTATCTTCGACTCTGGCACTGCAGGCTGAAGACGACATCACTTGATGCTGCGACCCTTTTGATTTTGACCTTCTGCAATCGCCGGCATCCGTCGCGAGATCTTTGGATAAAAACCACAGTATAGTCTGCCTTTTTCACATTAGGATTGCAGTCGTAGTAGTTCCATAACAACGCAGGTATCGGACAAAGTGAAGCGAAGTTAAACAGTGATTGCGAAACGAGCTCGTACCGGTTGTTGTCACAAGCGCATAGAATCGGCGTAGAAGTGCTTAATGCAGTCAACTTCGTCATGCCAGTGCTAAATGCAACTGAGCGCAAGTGAGCTCTTCGCAATCATTTGTGTTCAGTTGCCTGTGTGGCTCAAGTTGCAATCTACTGCTTGCAGTGAACAGTGCTGCGGTCAGGCAGAACGTCGAGATGGCAGGAGCCACGAGCACGATGTTCCATCCAGTCCTCTCCGCAACTCTACTATCATCAAGTCGTGCTGCAATGGCGGCCGGCGAGTCCTCCAACTGCGACTCGGGGCATGCACACTGGGCACGGTAGTACTGATACTTGCAGCGCGTGTCCTCCACAGCCGTTAAACATGTTAATTATGCTACTCAACGACTACTAGAGCTCAGACAAAGAAAGGATGTGAAAGGCTTCGGTTGGGCATCCTCCTCTCCCAGTTCACGTGCACAACGGGCGAAGACCGTGAAGCGCAAAATGCAGTTGTTGGACTCAAGATTCAGTGGACATCCGGCTGAATGCTCTGCAAACTTCAGTCAACGGGCACCTGGTTCGTCAACGATATGAAGCGCGGGTCGTCCTGGCATGCGTCACACATGCAGGGCAATCAGTAAAAGACTCGATGACACTTGCGACACTTCCATGCAATACGGATCTTCATCACAATGCATGTTCGGCCCTGGATAGTGATTCAACGGCCTCTGACCTCTGAACTCTGTAGTGGCAAAGGACGCCAACTGAGCTACAAAATTTCGGGATTGCAGAGTCCAGACAAAGCAGCCCGCGCTGGGCTAGAGAAATTAACAATTAACGGCACAGATTGTGCCTGAAACTACCTGGTCTTGATTGGGTAAGGCCAGTCACCTTTGGTCTGCTGGGCTTACCATCTGAGTTGTGCCATCTCAGCTTATGTTCGATTCTGTCTGGCTTGGCCAGAAATTGCCTTCATGATGTACAGTCTGCACTGCGCACTGATCACTTGAACATTCAGCGGCCACGCACAGCGCCAGGAACCTCAACCTGCACAAGGCTGTGAATTGCCGTTTCACCCACCCTCGCCTGTGCTGCCTCACGCTTGCCATGCCTTGCTCAAAGATCATCGGCACGGCGCATATCGACTTACACCTTGAACACTCGAAAAAAGGTATGCAATTAGCTGCAGCAACTGAACGATGGCAGCTCCTGTATTTAGCGGCTCGGCAGCTACCTTCCACTTGCAGCAGGCAGGCCATCGAAGCCAGTGCGAACTCCCTGTCGCTGAAGTATTCGCTGATCTCTTGCTGAATGGCCTTCGGCAACCTGCCCAGCCAAAAGATCAAGCGCACTCCAAGAGTCCTGGCGACGTCACGGCCTCTCGTCTCCAGGGTACACTTCGACATCGCCAACCACGGTTGTTGATCTTAGTCAGACCGACCATAGCCACATGCAACGCAGCTTGGAAAAGTGAAGGCGAACCCCTTCTCCGATTCTTCCGTGCTACAAGTACCAATCATGTCGAAGTGCACTTTGGCCGTTCAACAGGATTTTGCCAGTGGCTTCAGGCGAGAAACGTACAAAGCCGGCAAGGCACATGCAGCGGCTGCTTCATAACCACCAGAAGACTACGACTGCACTACAGAACAACAGTCTCGATGGAAGCAACCTCATGCTTACATGACTCATCATTTAGCCACGAAGGGCATATGTATGACTCCGCGCACCTCGTACGCACACATGCGCAAAGGTTCCATCACTCAGCAACGATCTCCTTTACCAGAAAGTCTTGCTGTCCGAGAAACTTGTCAATGACGCCACAGTCTTCCAGTAACTTGAGGTCCGGAACATATCGCTCCTCAAGAATGCTGCACTGGCACAACTTACCCGCGGATGATTCTGGAATTCGTGCACCGGAGGCCTTTGAATGGTCCACGAGAACAAAATCTGCAGGCTGCCTCTCCATCCTGGCAGGTGACGCTGCAGATCGGAACTCCGTTCGCACTGAAGCCCCACTACCACAGCCTGTCTGTGATGTTCACCAGCTCGGAATGAACTGTGCCCATCCAAATCTTCACCTGAAGAAAGGCTTAGCGCTACATGCGCTTACCCAAGCCCGAAGATACACCGAACACCTGAAGGGGCTAAGCCCGAGAAGTTAGTGCCAATAGAGTGCCGGCACTTCGTGCCGATTGTTAACACAGATCTTGCCTTTGAGTCCAACCCAGCAAACTCGATGATCTTTGTTGCAATTGCAGCGAACAGCTCGTCCTGGGGCTTGAACTGCGAGCTGCCACGTGCGACAGAGGCGCGAGACATGCACCCTGTCCTTCTCCACGCTGAGGAGTTTGCCGCCTTCCGGCAGATTCCTAGCTATTCGAAGGGCACTGTAGCCGCCTCAGCCAGACTGTGTGGTGTGGTTCGCCACGAGATGGACGACAGGTGGGCAAATTGGCTCTGTTGCAGCCGGGTTGCAGTACGTACCCATCTCAAGGCATCGCACCGGGTGCGAAGAGCCTGCCTGCTGGAAGCAGCTGGATCCACAAGCTGACGGTCAACAAGAAGTAGCAAAAGGACGAATATTGAAACATTAAGATGCATTGGCCGTTGCCTTGAGCTGTACCGACTCCTGAACTTTCTCCTCGATCTTCTGCCCCCGGACGTTCCACTTTTGGGCTCCTGAGAACTCACCACCGGTGCTGGGGACAGTCGCCACATCAGCGCTCCTTGGGCTTGGAACGTTTTGTTCCAGAAAGCATCCATAGCTGCAATGACCTGATGTAGCAGGAGGAGGAGTGAGGAGAAAAAAAGGACTAGACTTAGTTCCGAGATCCGAGGTGCGCTGTCAGGATTGCCAGGTTGGGCCGTGGACACGACGTGTTCCAGCAGTGATCGCTCCAGACCATGCATGGCTTCACTCCCCATCTTTTGCACGGTTCCCTTGGCCTGCGATACATCAGAAGACTTGTATGCTGTTCACCACATATAGGCAGATTGATGTTCTGGAAGCAGGTCGTGTTTCACATCTGTGCAGTAGCATGCGAGTCGTCACCCGCCTCAGCCGTCACCATGCCAGGGGCAAGAGACACGGCGGGCGGCGAATACTCCTGCTGTGTTTCTGCTGAATGCATGGGGAAGGCTTAGCGAAGAGAGAGAGAGAGAGAGTGAGAGAGAGAGAGAGACAGAGGTCTAGACTCTGAGTCTAGACAGGGATAACTGTTCGAGCGCCTCAGAGAAGGAAGTGTCCACAGCATCGCATATCTCCTTCATCCAACCGTGCTTGTCTTCGAGCTCACCACCTCGACTGTGTCAGAACTTGAAACTCTGAGTGCTGTGTGAGGGCTTCGTTGAGCACACCACACTGGATGGAAGTGAGCTCACTTCGGAGGCTGGCCATAGTATCCTGACAACTTGCACATGCAGAATTGACAGCACACTCATTGCAAGTCACCTACACTTCCAAAGCTTTCGATCCAGACTACGTCACCTAGTCAGTTACCAGCATGCAATGCAGCAGAGCAAGATGAGCCAAGCAGCAAATTCATCGAAGTCGTACACCGTGTCTTCATGCCGAATGGAATTCACTTTCACGACAACAGCGGCCGTACCACACATGCCTCAGTGGCACGGAGTCCGGCGGATGCTCTATGTTCGTATTGTCTCGGTCCTTCCTCTTCTTCAACCAGATGTTCAGGACTGGCAGACCGCTCCCCCTCACTTCCGATTTTGCAGGTGGGCCCGAAGCTTTCGGCTTCTTCCCCCGGTATTGGGTTCGTGAGGTCCTAGTGACAACCGCAAGAATCTGGTTATCCCTATGCTGGCCGGCACTGAAATTCTGAAGACGATAAAGAGCTGAGATTTTAAGGGTGGCTGCACGCCAGAAGCGAGGCTCTGCTAGGTGTGCCTCATCACACACCACCCTTCAGCTACGAGGTATGTCGTCGCGAACCTGACAAAAACAGTGATACCTGAAGCCCATGGTCGCGGAGTCTTCCAAGCCACAGAGATGGACAGAGAGAGAGAGAGAGACAGAGACGGATAGAATCGGATACATGCACTTGGCGCGCAAAAGACAGACAGAGGACCCGTCGCCGGCGGACGGCGAACGCGTGAGTGCAAGGGAGAGGGATCCGCTCTACACCCATGCCTATGTGAAGAACAAGAAAGGATGGGAAGAATCCAAGAGTTGGGGAATCCAAGCTTGCAGAACCTGAGGACTATGGGGCTCCCTCTGCAAAACTAGCTCTCCTTCTTGGGCGAGTGGCCAATCTCCTTAAAATTTGAGATTTCCGCCTGGAAGTCAATCGGCCGCTCCTCGACGATCATTCCCCGATCTCGGGCCAGCTGTTGCAGCATGATATTCGTCGTGGACTGCAGGATCGTGTCTGACTTCGGCGTGATATAGCGCCCGTCCTCCCGTGACAACTCGCAACTTCTTAGTCTTAGGACACCATTTCTCCTACTCCCTTGCTGCATGTGTCCCACTCCGTCTGTCCACATAGAGGCGAAGAGCGACCGAGAGAGAGAGAGAGGACCAGCAGCAGAACTGGGTTGTGCTGCGCTTGCCCCTCGCCGCTGTTCAGAGTTCAATGCGGAGAGACATCCGAAGTTCGGTCAGAAGCTGCCGCTGTTGGACTCATTCACCCCCAGTCGTGGTGCTGCATAGTTATGTGCTTGAAGTACTGATCTGCCTTACTCTCACCGTCTTTGAGCTCCCTGTGCCCCGCTCTTACTACTTGCCAGCATAGGCGGGCGACTCCATAGTTCCTGCAGACGCATGATTCCGCATGATGCTTCGTCCTTCGTAATGCCCACGAAGTTGCACACGGAGAACTCCTCCACATACTTCCGCTCCTTCGCATCGAGGTAGAGTGTTGTGTTGTAGCCCTGGGCATGAGCGCCATGGACGGGCGAGAGATCCGCCGCATAGTTTCCGGCTGCCTTGACGGCTCCCAAGCCCTTCGGAGCAGCTCGATCATGATCGGTGCTAACCAACGCCTGCGACGGCAGTTTCCCGCACGGCAAGACCTCCCGTAACGACACGGAACATTAGGAAAAGAAAGAGCCCTGGAAGACTGGTCCAGGAATGCTCTTGAATTCGACCACCGCAGCACGAGTGCCCAGGTGCGCTAAGTGATGCTAGGTGAGCTTCTGACGATGGGTTTCCTATTGCGCAAGCTCAAAAAGCCATGCGACAATCTTGCCAGTTTGTTCTGAACAAACCTTCGTTCCAAATGTCATGTGTCGATGTCGTCTCCTCTTGTGACAATAAGGTCAGGCGTCAACGAGAAACGATCGTGCCCTCCAAGTGTACTACTTAGCATTTTGCTTGACATCTTTTTGGCGCTATTCGTCTTTCAAACCACCGACATGTCGTGACATGTGGAACCACGCCTTGACTCCCACCTCGCTGCCTTTGCCGAAGTATCCTCCAGCTGGGAGGACGGTCACGAAGAAGGTGTATTCGCTGGCCAAAGGCGCCAGCCCAAGCATCTGTCCGCTGGCAAACAGCAGCGGGCGCACATACATCGAGGCATTGTTACCTTGGCAAATCATGCCAGCGGAGCAATAGATTTGCACGGCACCCAGCACCCCCCCTGGACAGTATGTCTGAACATCCGGTCG